CATAAAAGATCGCTTATGAAGAACCATGTTTATGAACGATATATCGATGTTTGAAAGAATTGATGTATCGTTTGCATCCCAAGTCACGCATCGAATAAGTGCCTATCTATATACACATATTATGCCTAAGTCCCTTAGTGTTATTACACTGCACGGTAGCAAGGGCACTGCAGACCGGGTCCACTTTGACGCTCTAATTAAGGACCCTTACTCCCTTTCTCTTATTACATTACCTCGAATCAGGGCGTTGGGACCTTGATTCAGAGTAGTGTAATAGGGGTATAAGCACTATGCTAAATGATCTCAATAGTGTCTCCCAAAGGATGGGTATTAAGATGACCATGGACAAAACAAATATCATGTCTAATATCCATATCACATCTATGCCGGTAGTTGTTAGGAGCACTAAGTTCGAAGTCGTTGACAAGTATGTTTACCTGAGACAAATAATCCGACTAGGTAAATTCAACTTTCGATAGGTAAATCGACGGATCCAATTCGGCTGGGTAGCGTTCGGGAGATTACGACATATCTTCCCGTCAGGCATACCTCAAAACTTAAAACGAGATAGTGCAACCATTGCGTGTTGCCAGCTACGGATAGTTGCATTTGGATATGGATGGATGGATATGATGGATATGAGACGTAGTCCTTCGCCGCTGGCTGTATCAGGAAGCTTATAGTCGCTCAGCGAGCTATAAAGAGACCTATGCTCGGGGTTTCTCTGCATGATAAACTTAGAAATAAGGATATCCGCAGTAGAACCAGAGTAGCCGACACAGCCCAACCAATTAGTAAGCTGAAGTGGCAATGGACCGGCAATGTAGCTCGAAGAATCGACAGCCGATGGGTAAGAAAGGTTTTCGAGTGGTAGCCTCGTACCAGTAGGCGAAGTGCGGGGCGGACCCCCACTAAATGGAGTGACGACCTTGTAAGACATTGTAGGAAAGCGATGGATGCACGTGGCCCAGGTGCTTTGTGGCATTTTTTGCTCTACTGTTGCTGCTTTAGTAGTGGATTTGTAAAGGATTGTCATGATGATGATGACGTGTGAAATCATTTTCAATTAACTTTCTTTACAGCAGCACGTTGTAAAGTAACAGCCTATATAAGTCCAACTGCAGGGCACAGGCCTCCCCTAATTTCTGAGAGGGTTTAGCACAGCACGGTAGGAGGGAGGCAGCACGTTGACCTTAGTTTAAAAATAAAATTATGTGAAATAGGGTTTCTATAAAACAATACTTTTACTCTGCAAAGCAATGAAATTTTTATATTGAGAATTGCATTAAAGTTAACAAATGTTTTAAACAATGTTTATTTGCTATATGCAAATGCGTCACCTCGTTACTTGACTGCAGCGTGCATCACATCAGCACTTTTTTAATCTCCCGGCCTTTACAACTCGCGACACGTAGCTCTAGCGCTGAACAAAACGTGAAGGAGATATCTGCGAACGTCGTATCAGTACGGGGGAAGGAATGCGACTGGGGGGCCAATCAGCCCGTGCGTAGGATACACACAGTCAATCATACGCAATAATGCGTAATGTGGCCAATTATGCACACAACGGTCACCGCTAGACTTTCGTGCCGCGAGATTTACCTGCCACAACTCCTGGGAACGAAGGAGCTGTAAAAGTTCACTGGTTAACAGCAATAACATCACAGAAACAGAGAAATTATCCTACATTAGGTCTACATCAGTAAAACACCGCTCTCAGGAGTTTTATTTTTAAAACATATAAACGCAAGCCTAAATACATTGTTTAATAACTTTCTATTACGTTAGCATTTGGTATCGTAATAATCTTCTTTGTTTAGTGAAATGACGGGAATGTGTTCTGGACACGTTTCTATTGCTTTATTTGCAAATAGAAATATAACGATCTGTATGTACCTACTGTTTGAATTTAATTAAAGGTAAAAATAAATTTTTATTTTTTTTAAGGGCTCTGTTGTTTTAATAGGTTTCAATTAATGTAAATAATTACAAATTAAAAGTTTAAAACTATAAACAATATTGCAACTTTCATCATGGTTTGATTGGTTAATTAAAGGTAGCTTAAAATCAATGAAAAACGTCCATTTTAGGTATCATCGATGCCGTTAAAATTTAGGAACTATTTGTTTAAAGCGTCAAAGAAAATTAAACGTAAACAAACCGATCAACATATAGATAAATTGTCGATATGCAAAACTAAACAAATATCTATACTACGTTTATTTTTTAATTGTCACACCGTTTACCCGATTACAAACTATGGTGAGTAGTAGAGCGCGCGTCTAAATATATTTGTGACAAAAAGGTCTAGCAAGTTTATCAAATAAAATTTAAACATATGAGTGAAAAGGTCAAATATGAAATAAATTGCAAGGTGTTCATGTGTGTAATATTTGCACAATCCACTGCATCCAAAGCTAAAAATGTACTTTTGTTAATTCTGTTTTAATAAATATCACTTTATAAGTATCTACACTTGACAGTAGATGTACAAACAGTTGACAGCTATATTTGTGGCACATATTTATTTATTCCGAATATTTATTTGCATTTTATTCAAATGTTTTTAACTATTTTGGAACATAAATTTGATGTAATGTAAATAAGAAATACAAAGTATTGGATATAAATAGGTAAATTTAGCAAGGATAGAAATGTTAGGTAGTAGGACTATCAACGTGGTAGAGCCATGCTGCAATTACATTAAATTTGTATCACGAATGGGTCGGCTACACCGGGGAAGGACCACGCTCTCACAGAATACCAGCGTAAAATAGTAGCTTAATGTTGCTGTGTTTCGTATGGTGTGTGTAGAGAACCAGACACCCTTTTCACTGGAAACGAGGCATTTCATCTGAGTCCTCAGGGGTGACAACATATCAGCATTTTGATACCCAATCAAGAATAGATGTAGATATTTATGGGCCATCAACTTACCATCAGGTGGACTGTGTGCCCGTTTTTCACCCTAAAAATACATAAAAGGGCGCCTTTTCTACATATTTTATAAAATTTAAAGTACCACCTTCTCAACTAAATCTGTCACTAAGCAGCTTATCTATCCACTATTGAGTTTTGGTGTGAAAGGTACATGATAAAAGAGTTATAGGTTGTATAGCATTCTATCTAAGTCCTCGGGAGTGACAACGCATGGTATATTCTTTTTTTTCTACGAGGTAGGTGATGCATGCAGACAAATTATCTTATTGTTAGTCACTTTACTGTGAATAAAAAGCGAATTCGGTATATTCGATGATAGATTTTTACCACTGATGTATTCATTAAACTTAATGCTTCTAAGTTACATAATAAACGGAAAATTCTAATACGAAACGTTTACGAGGAGTCGTTGTTTAGTGTTCACAGGGGTTTATTAAAACCTGTTGCCAAACCGCTTATTATCTTTTGGTCGCATATTTCAAAAAAAAAAAAGAAATCTTCCTTAACAACAATAAGTAAACTAACTTTATAAATAAATAAATAAATCATTTATTCTGGACCAAACCTTTAGAATATTTTAATGTAATGAAAATAAAACAGTGTAAATAAAGCAAGTTTCCAATTTTAAAACGGGTATTAACTAATATTTAGAATTACTAACATTTAGCCATAGAACCTACACCATTTAAATCTTTGTCGAATCTCAGGTGCGCACCTCTTCTGACTTGCTGTCACTTGTTACGTATTAATGGGTACATCATAACAATGTTTAAATCATTAGCATTGGGATTGTCAGTAGTTATATTATTTAATAATTAAAACAATTAATACAACAACAAATTAGTGGATATTTTCACATCTCGCAACATCTTCGTTAAGGAAAACAGTTTTTAATTTATTTTTAGTGTGTTTACTTATTCTAGTATTATCTTCCCTCAGACAAACGAGATCATTAAAAAGTTTAGGGGTCAAATACTTGTTGGTTTTTTTTGCCATAGTAATTTATTACTAGTGGTCGCGCAAGTTTACGCTCTCTAACGGTTCTAGTATTATACCTATTTTGCACTTGTACTTTGAATTGGTTGTTATAGAACCAGCAGTTACTTGACCTTCTCATGTACAGCAAGCACCTTACATACTACAACAAAAAGTTTTTCATAGTTATCTTTACAAATTAATTTTATTTGCGGTTTAACAAGGTATTTCATAAAACGAATTTGGAACGATTTTATACCATTGAGATATGTTTTGACTGTACGGTCATACGTATTTAATACATAGGTTAGTAATGACTCGGCGAGAGCAAAATAAATGACGCGCAACGATTTCCTATTCAATGGCACCTTCAGGATATAAAATTTACTCAACATAAGCTTTGTACATACTGTGTCAACTTGTGTTTTCTAATTCACATTATGGTCCACCCACATACATACCTAGATACTTAAATTTACTAACATACTCCAGCTTTCGACAAACAGTCATACGCGTGACCCACAATATCTATATCCATGTTCTTGACATTTTTTGTCACTAAATTGTGCGGTAAGTACAGATGCATCACTTTCGTCTTATTGAGGTTAGTATGATATCATTATCATGAGCTCACCGGGTAATATTATCGAAGTCAGCCTACAGCACAGCCCTGATCTCTTATATTCTTAGAGGAGTACTAAGGCACATGTCATCCGCGTACATGTATACTCTATTATTTTTAACCACATTACTGACGCTATTGACATACATTACGAACATGTACCGCCGCTGTGTTATGGCGGAGTGACTTAAAATGTGTCATGGCCTACTACAGTAAATTTCCATTCTCACTCTATTTATGTTTGTTTTGCGCCAACTCGTACTGTTTCAAATTTGAAGTCCACGCAGATCCTTTAATAGTTCATATTTCTAGCCGAACGTGAGACGGTCGGCTGGCCGTCGGCTATCTGACACTCGCAAGTAGACTCGCTTCACTACCCGATCCTCTCAGAATCTTGAGATAATTTAGCCAATGAAGTCAACATTTACAAAAGTACAGTAATAAATAATTCATAATGTCCTACCGGAGTGGCGTCGCCATCAGAAGGAGGTGAAGGATCCTCATCGGCTGGCGGAGTGGTGCATGGCGGCGCGGACGATCGCTTGTCCTGCGCTCTACCTCCTAAGCTTTCGGGACCCTTTCCACCGCTATGGGAAAAATAATCAATTAGTGACTATGCTAATGAAACACTTCTTTCGCTTAACGGCACGATGGGAAAAAATACAGCCTATATACGTCCCACTGCTGGGCACAGGCCTCCGCTCATTTCTGAGAGGGTTTTTTTTAGGGCAAGGAATTGTCCGCCGCGGTGCCCTAATGCGTGTTGGCGAACTTCACATGTCTTCGAAATATTTTTTTTTCTTATTTCTCTGTCATGCAGGTTTCCTCACGATGTTTTCCTTCACCGCCGAGCACGTGGTAAACCAGCACTTAAAATTGCAATTAACAATTTCAATGGTGCCGGCGGGGATCGAACCCGGTTTGCTCGCGTACCTAAATTTACAGCGAGCGCTAACTATCTGAGCTACCACGGCTCTTTTTTTGCACGGCTTATTTTGCAGTAAATGCAAGTATTTATTGCTTCTTACAATCTCCGCAAATTAAGATAGACACCATATGGTTTATGAAACCCTAGTTTAGTTTTGTCACCGTCCAAGTGTTATAATTTGGTTGGAAAAGATATTGTTCACAAAATAAAAGGTACCGAAAGATAATGTATAAATGACTACTACACAAGTAAACAGAACAGATTAATACGAATATATAATACATGATATTAATAATGAACAAGATGATAAGTAGTTATCTCTTACACGTTTCTTAAAAATCAATTATGTTTCAGAACATGTTATGTTAGGTGGCAGAGGGAGCCAGAGATCTACACGAAGCGCATTGTTAGAAAAGGTACAGGACTAAAAGTCGGAATTATGGACAAGGAAGTTAAGAAAAGTTTTAACAAGAGATTTGTTAAAACTTTATATAGGAAAACTTTAAATATTTCACCTGGAGGATGGGTGAATGAAAATCAGCTTGTTAGGTGTGAGGTAGAGTATGGATTTTTTTTGTTGGTAATACTGAAAACACGAAAGATGAAAAATATACTTATAAACAGACGCATCAATATGCAATGCGGCCCTCTCACATATAGAATAACTAATATATTATATTATTCGGATAATTATTGCCATATGTTCCAATAGAGCCGATGTATTTTTAATGGCATTACACGTTGCGAATCCAAACTATAAATATTGTGGAAAGATTTTATTAGGAGTTTATTAATAAAATATTCTAAGAAAAATGAAACGTCGCCAAAAAATAATGCATTTCTCAAATTAAAGCTATATAAAACATATGAAAATGAATACGCGGCAATAATAGTTTATGAAACCATAAACTATTATTGCCGCGCAATACATACGTAGTACAGACGTGGTAGAGACTAGAGACATGCTGCAGCTATATTACGATTTTAGCACAGATAGGTCGGCTCGACTATACCAGCGTAAAATAGCAGCTTAACGCTGCTATGTTCCTTATAGTGAGTATAGAGAACTAATAACCCGTTTTAGTGAAAACGAGGGATTCCATCGTATTCCTCAGCGGTGCCAACACATCTGCATTTTGATTCTTAATCGAGGATAAATGTAGATGTCCATGGGCCTCACCATCCACTTACCATCACGTGGATTGTGTACTTTTTTGTGACCTTTACTGTATACAATATGTAACAAAAACCCTGTAGTTCCCGTTAAGTGCGTTATCAGAGTCAGTATTAAATGTATAGAAATAAGTTAACCTCAGCAAACCCGACCAAATTTGTTATTTTAGTTAAATACATTTATATTTGCACATTTAATGTGTTTTTATTACCTCTATCTGACACGCGCATCAGTAATGCAGGATCTTTGACAATATTATTACTCCCTAGACAATGTTTGCAAATAAAATTTTATTTATATAAAATAAATTTCTTTTGGTCGAGTTTTCTGCGAAAAAGTTATTTCCGCATATTTGAATACTGATTCTGATAACGCTCTTAAAGGGAAACAGGATTTATTTTCGTTGTATAAAAAAAACTTTATACGAGTATATTAGTTTTCTGTGGGGTGACCCAGCGGTCCACGAGCGTGCGTAAAATATCCGCAGCGGGGTCAAGAATATTGAATTAAACCATTTAGACAATGAAACACCGAAACCGTAACAATGTAATTAATTACATTCGTGGAGTCTTTTCAAAAGTTACCATTTATATTTTTATTAAGGGTTTTATGAACATTAAATCCATACGACACTTAAATTTAACACACTTAAAATTTTTAGCTAAGCTCTTAGCGATCAGCCAACGCAGTCTGCCTTAGCATATTCCGTGTAAAGGCGAAACACGTGTCGTATTATCGACGGTGGGGTAGGGAGTAGTGGAGCTGGGAGAAGTAAGCTGGGATTAGTGGCGATGGAGATAGTGCACGCATTTAAGGGACGGCTTGAGGTGCTTTTCAAATTACACGTGGTAGAGCCAAGCTGCAACTATGTTATGGTTGTAGCAGAAATGGGTCGGTTCGACCGGGGAAGGAGCACGCTCCCACGGAATATCATGGTGAGTGTAGAGAACCGGAAACTCTTTTACTGGAAAAAAGACATTCCATCGTAGTTTTCAAGTATTCTTATATAAAAAAAAACCTAGGTAAGACATCATTTTATTTTACAGATCTTTTAATTTTTAACATCTTAAATATAATGGATTTTCGCAAAATAACGCCTGATTCTATTAACTAATTATATATAAGACCCTTATTTATAAAAAATAATCACGCATAAAAAGACCTTTGATTTTTAATTTAGTTCTATTATAGCTAGCAATGACAGGTACGGTGGCGCTAAAAGGAAATTCATTACGCAATTTTATTGCATAAGCTTTGTAGGGGTCCACTATGGGGCTATGATAAATGGAGAACATATCCAATATACCGCATATTAAACAAGGATCAAAGGCGTGCGAATCGCACAATGATTTCCATTTCGCCTATCAAGCGCGTTGACTATGGCACAGTCCCCTACCATGAGCGGGTCCACATTCAAGAGTTAAATTAAAAAAAAAAAAACAATATCACGTTACCCAAACTCTTTTATTACTTAAAAACTGAAGTTTGTGTTAATTTTCATTTCGGATTTGAAAAAGAAAAACAAAGATAAAGAACATTTGACAAGGTTAGATGTTATTAGAGAGATTATTTGCAATTTACATAATTATAACTTGGTAGGATATTTGGTTATGTTATGGTTTTCGACGGAAACCCTGTTCACAAACTACAAACTAGACACAATAGTAAAATCATATAATATAATAATTGTTAAAATGACTAATAGCTTACAATACTCATTTCGTGCAAAGCAGTTACTGTAATTCTGTTCTCTTTAAAGCCGCACACAATGATAACTTCAATCAATAAAGGTAAAAGTATTGTGAAATAGCGGAGATACGACAGTAAATAAATTGTAACATTATTTTATGATACCGGAGGGATCACAGGTGCGTTTTTGGTTTTTAAGAAAAGAGTAGGGTAATTTTTGTGAATGAAAAAAATGTGATTGAAAATTCCACCAGAGCCGGCCAAATCGAACTAAGATTTTTCACGTACATATACATTTATGTGCGTGCACCGTGAGGTGGTGGGGTAACAGAATCAATCAGTAAGTCGAAAGAGGCACTACCTACTATGGATCTTACAGCTTCGAATATTTATTAATTTATTAATATTAATTTTATTTATTTCATTTCATCTTTTGCTCCACCCTTCAGGCAATGTTAAAATTTGGAAAAAGAGTTATTCCATCCCTGACAATCAATTTTTAACATTAAAATGGAAGCTTAAAATTGAATCAGTACCTTATTAAATAATTTAGTTGAAAACACGTTTTCAAACGCTTTCAACTATTGGTTTCAGCTTCAAGTCTAGTCTAATCGTTAAGTGGCGAGCTCTATTTGCGTCCGACCGTTTGTTTTTTATTACACCGAAGTAGCTTAATAATCGTAAAAAGAAAATGACGGCACCTAAATAAAACTATACAGAAAGCAAAGCTTCTCATATAATTGAGAAAATAAATCTGTTAACCGCACAAGGGTTTAAGCGTTTAAGGAGACACGTTAAGATAATGGATTATATCAAGCCGCGAACAGATCCCTCCTAGAATATTTTTTTTAAATAAATCTACGCAATAAAAGCCTATTCAAAAATGATAAACTATAAAACATAAATAAAATAAAATATTTTTGAGGAGTTTGAATATTCAAGGGCAAATTGCCTTAGCTGTGTGTGTGCTTATTTTCAAGCATAATAATCAGTGACAACAAAGTAAGCGATGAACTGACCTGCTGATGGTAGCTGCAGCTCATGGACTTCTGCAACAACTTCCGAAGGTAAGATAGAAAAGCTTCAAAGCCCGTAATTATACAGTCTCTCTGAACTTTTCGGACCAAAACAAAGCAATACAGGCACTTCTATTTGGCGGTTTTGCCACCTGTAGGTATATACTATAAAGTTCCAGGTCTGGATGTTTGTCCTTGTAAAATGTGTTTATGTAAACTGCCTCTACGATACACGAGATAAGCCTAGTGTGGGGGTAACGTTTCTTTAAAAAAGAAGGAGAAGATCATATTCAAGATGGAAGTTTTTTTATGTATGTTCACGGATTTCTCTGAAACGGCTGACCCGATTTAATGGTCATTTTTTATTAAAAAGTATGTAAAATTTAAAGAAAAGAAATCCATCCCTAAAGGTAGATAAGCAAATAAGGGGTGAAGATTTTAGTAAACGATCGGTATTACTAAAAAAAGTAAATCCGACTTTAAAAAATACATCCACATAATAACGTCCGAAGTCTACGTTTTAATTCTTTCTGATGCATTCAATGGTTAAATGTATTGAGCTATAATTCGGCAACATCGAGTTAAATTTTATTCTTTTGAAAATAAGTAAATTACATCGAAATATTTTATTTCAGATATAATATAAAATAAAATATTTCGATGTTGTATAAAATATATTTTTATTAAGATCGTCACACCGCAATCATCATATTTCTTCTACAACGAACGTTTATTGAATACTTAATTCCTCTAGGTCAGTTGTTAACAATGTAAACAGCT